GAAGTGCCTGAAGAATTTGGGGCAAAGTGCCAGGATCGTAGACAGGGCAGGAAAGAGGAGCGCATGGGAAGGGGAAGGGAGAGGGCAGGGATGGTGGGCATGACAGTAGAGGGGAGAAAAGCCCCTCTCAATGACTGCCTATCAGACAAAAGCTTCGACATCTATAAATACCTGGGCAACACTGGGTTATCAGCTAGTTGGAACATTGAAAAACCCTCTCAGATCCAGGATCCTATACCTAAGAATCATTGGTCAAATGCTTAAATAAAGCAAAGTAACTGATTTTACTCTTTTTATTGTTTTAGTAATCCATTAGTCTGAGATTCTAGCTCTATTTACCTATTACTGCCAGTGTAAGAGCTAGTTTTCTCTAGTAGTTAAGGCACCAGGTTAGAAAGCAGGAGACTGTGAATTCAAGTCCTACCTTAGCCATGAAAACTAACTCGGTGACTTTGGGCCAGTCACTCACTGTCAGCCCAACTCACTTCATGTAGCTGTTGTTGTTGGGAAAATAGAACAAAGAAGACACATTGGATATGCCTTGGGTTATTTGTAAAATAAATAAATAAACAAAGATTGACAAACCTCTACCCATGAAGTAGCCCAATCCCATTTAATGTTACTCCCAATATGTATTCTATTTTTAACTTAACGATGCAGATTTGATCTCTGCTAATGCATGTTTCTTCTTGTTCTTCTTCTTGGCCCTTTTAAGTCTTGTAATATTGACTTAGGACACTATAATGTTATTCTTTTAGAAAAGTTAAGGTTTCTAGTATTATTTTGTATTTTTCTATGATAGGTAAGAGATTATTTATTTTTTAAAAAACATCCTAGTAATAAACACACAAAGTAAGCCTATAAATGCAGAATGATTGTAGGAGAAGATCAGGAAGAGCTTGGAGGTAGAGTTAAACATGTTATCAGCTTAGAGTACTTACATTACCACAAACGATCCAAGCCCAACCCATTTTGAATCCATTGACTCTTATCTAGCACCATTTTAGTTGGCTAGATTATTGCATACAGGCTTGAATAAATATTTTGTCATGCAACTTAATGTATGGTCCTGATCCTTTGTACCTGACAATTACTTTGAATAAAGAATACTCAGAAGCCCAGTCCTTTATCCAGGGAACAGCATGATGTTCATTTTATCAGATGTTTACATCTACATTTAGGTACATGTTTGAATTTCCCTCATCACAAAACCTTCCAACTTCTAACAGCTTTCCCACCAGTTCCTTCTCCAGATTTATTGGACTGCAATTTCCATCATGCCACATGTCAGTGTAACCCAATTCTGAGTGCCAAAACCCATGTGACCTTTATATGGCAACAAGAAGATAGAGAAAACTGTGATCATCCATACTGTTTTGGCCCTGATACGGTATTCCTAATGACTCTAGTAGCAACCCCATATCCAAAATGGGAATAATAATTATGTGATATTACCAAAAAAAAAACTGAAGCAGGGTTACAAATTCCAATCAGTTCAGAAACTTGAACATGGTAGTATCAGATCTTTGTAGCTCTTAAAAGAATGAAATTAATTTGTATTATTGGATTTCATGGAGGATTTAAAAAGCAAACTGGAATGAGATTTTATCCAGAAGTTAATACATTTTTCATCAACCAAGTCATCTTCTCTGCCCAAAGAAATCTGGTATATTGCATGCTTAAACTGACAAATGAAGCATTGGCCATCTCAAATCATGATCCCATTTTATAAGCAAGTTAGTATCTTCTAAAGAACACTTATTTCAGAAAATAGAAGTTTTGACCAATTTCAGGTCAGAAAGGAATGCCTGCACAGATGTTTTTAAAAACCACAATTTTTTGAGGAGCATAATAACATGCAGCTCAATCCTCTGCCTATCCCAGATCCCCAGCAAGAACTCAAGAGGCATATAAAAATGCCAAATCCAGTCTGAACATCTGGCTGACTGTGTGACAAACCACCATAATAAATTATTAACTGTGTTAGAAGTTGGAGAGGCAACTGGATTGTTGGATGAGGAAAAAAAAACAGAGCAAACTAAAACTGGCTAAAGATGTAGAGAAGCTGAATGAAGGCACTCCAGATTGCATTAAAAAGCAAATTAATTCACTCAAATATGAAATGAATGATCTTCAAAGATCCTAACAGTGATCCCTGTATCAAAGGATTGGAAAGTGGCCAATGTAATAGCCTCTTTTTTTTAAAAAAATGGATTAGGGACAAATGCAGGGAATTACAGTCTAATCTGATTAGTGTATGTGCTGGAGATTTTAGTGCTAAACAAATCAAATATTCTTCTCCTTCTAAACAAATTTGGTTCCTACAAAGCCAAATCTATCTCACCAGTGCATTTGTATGGTTTGACAGTCATAAGAAGGCACATGGGTAAAGGGAGCCAACAGATATTGGCTGGGTTCGCTCATTACAATGTTACTGGGCAATTGGCTTAATAAAATATGTAAACCCAGCCAATAGTGACTTATTTATTAAATCATTATTGAGCCAGACCTTGTACTAATAGGGATTAAATATATATTGCTATTTCACTAAAGTCTACTCACTGGTTAAGGTAATTATTCAGTTGCATATTAAAATTTGGGCACCTCTGGTCAAATTTTAATGAATCTGTAGGCAAACATAAGTTAACCGAGCCTCTAAAAGGTAAATAGTTAGATAAGATGCCTTTCTGCAAATTTGGATGCATATTGTAGATTGTAGATTGTAGAAGTTTATTTATATGCCGCCCTTTTCCCTGGGGAGACTCAGGGCGGCTCACAACCCAAAGGGGGTGGGGAGACAAACTTTAACATATAAGACAATACATAGTTAAAAAAACACAACATTCATACCATTCGGGCGGGTTACAATCTTAGNTACATACATACATACATACATACATACATACATACATACATACCTGCATACCCAGAGAGAAAAAGCCACATCAAGGTTGGCCTACTCCATTTGTGAAAACCACCATCAACATACCTGTCCGTGACTTGTTATTAATTTCAGCAGGACTGTTGTAGGAAGAAATGTCTGGAAATGTCACATTTATTTTGATGTCTGAGATATTCCTCCATCTTTCCTTGAATCTGTTTGATCTTGAGTTGAAGTATGTCAGATATTACGTTTCTGATTAAGAAAGCAAACTTATCCTTAAGCAGAGAACAGCTGTGAAAATGCTTACTGTTTTACCCTTTTCACAAAAAATAGAAATCATACATGTCTCAAAAGACAGTTACTGTCAACCCTTTTATCAATGGAACTAAAAAAAACCTATGTAAAAATGTGAACGTTGTATTATTTGACATGTGTTCCCTTACAATTCGGTATATTTTTTTCAATGGAATAATAAAACTATTGAGAACTAACTTTCTTGATGAGGGTATTTGTTTATTTATTTAGTTAGTTATAATTATATTATATAATTATAATTATGTTATATATATTAAATGTTCACAGTGTCACCTAGGAATTACTGATTGGGCTCATACATTGTTTAGCCTTAGTTTATTAAACAACAGATAGCTGGGTTCACAAAACATATTAAGCTATACATTAAATAATTAAATAAATGATGCTATGATTTAGATCAATTTGGCAACTTTATATTATGGAAGTTGGGGAAAGGAAACATAGGGTTTTAGAGGTTAGCTATCACTAAGCTAGACAAATGCACACAACTTATACTGAAAACAGGGCTGGCAGAAGAGACAGCAATTTATTTTTCCTTTTCCTTTGGAAGTAGGGGCTGAGCATTTCATGGAGCTTCATTAGTCTCAGACACACAAGAAGCACAGTTATGATCACTATGTCTTTATTGTAGGGTTACAATAACAGAATCTTGCAAGACTGTATTTTTTCCTTCCCCTCCTTTTACTCTCTAAAAAACTAAGGAGGAGTCCTTCTGAAATTCTTCCCATGCCACCCTCTTCTCCCTGTGGACTGAGATCCCTGTTTGATGACAATTGTTCACTCTGTGGCTCTTCTTCCTCTCTGCCAAGGCCATTCTCACATACCAGAATAACAGAGTTGGAAGGGATCTTGGAGGTTTCACTCCAAGGATAGAATAGAATAGAATGGAATGGAATAGAGTAATAGAGCTGAAAGAGACCTTGGAGGTCTTCTAGTCCTACTCGCTGCTCAAGCAAGAAACTCTATATCATTTCAGACAAATGGTTGTCCAATCTCTTCTTTAAAACCTCCAAAATTGGAGCACCTACAACATCTGGAGGCAAGTCAGTCCACTGATTAATTGTTCTGGAAATTTTTACTTAGTTCTAGTTGGTTCTCTCCTTGATTAGTTTCCATCAGCAATAGTGAAGACCATCACACAGCTGCCTTCAAAATATTCTAGAGGGACTGACAAATAGAAATGTGTCATGGAAAAATGCCCTCAATAGCAATAGCAATAGCAGTAGACTTATATACCGCTTCATAGGGCTTTCAGNTTAGCTGATAAAGGAGGAGAGCCTGTGGCTTAGTAGCTAATACAACTGCCTGATATGTAATACAGCCCAGGTTTGATTCCCAGTAAGGGTATGGCTAGCTGATGAGAGCTAAATAGCTTGAAATAGATCTATACTAGTCTCCCTTTATTTACTTATCAGCACAAATTCAATGCACACACACACACACAGAGAGTGATTTATTTATTGTTCATTTCGCTCATTAGATATGTCTATAGTCAGTAGGGTGATCAAGACCCTATTGATTCTCATGGGACTTGGGAATCGATACCTCTGTTGTTTATAGACAGTTATCCCTGATCTCAAAACTCTCTAGATGTGATAAGACAGCAATTGCCAGAACTTCCACCCCAAACTTTTCCACCACAGAACAGATTCATCTGTCAACAGGATGAAAGCCCTTAAGCAACTTAAGTTTCATAGAAGTGACTGTAAATATTAGTGACACATTAGATATGTTTAACGTCTAAGACTATAGCCGCAAAGCAAAAGCCATCAAAATAGAAAATAGCCTTGTTGATTTTTGAAATCTCTCTGTTTTTCAGGTTGGACTCATCTCGGGGACAATGTTTATGCTGACAGGGATCATAGTTCTTGTAGTAGGGTTTCTGGTAACCCCCAAAATTGAAGCCCTTGGAGTAGAAGATTTTGTGGTAGTAGATACCCATGCTGTCCAATTTAACCGAGCCCTTGATGTGTGTAAGTTGGCAGGAGCAATATTATTTTGCATTGGAGGGACCACAATGGCAGCCTGTTTACTTATGTCTGCATTTGCAAAAAGCTACTCCAAAGAAGAAAAGTACCTGCAACAGAAATTTAAAGAGAGAATAGCAGATATGAAAGTCCAGACATACCCAGTCACAAAAGCCCCAGCAGCACCTGGAGAATCTAAAATACCCGTTACATTGTCCAAAGTTCAAAACATCCAGCCATTATCTGAGACCTGATTCCTGTTCTCTCTATCCTAACACACCCTTCTAGTGAATTTTGAAAAGGTGGTCTTGAATAGCACTTGAACCTGGGTTTACAGTGTGGCAGTTCTGCACTCAGCAGGAAAAGAAGCAGGCAAGAGGGGGAAACCCCCTATTTTGATAGGACTACATGAGTGACAAAGAAGTGAAGGCTCAGCCATCATTGGTTTCAATAAAGCGTTATCATGTATGTTGTGAAGGGTTTTCTTTTTTTTTAATTCCACAGAACCATTTAGGTTCATTTTTCTCCACTTATCTCTTCCTTGTTACATATTTTATTCTTATTTAAATAATGAATCTGTCTGTCTATTTAGTGTGAACAATTTAAATACAGGTGTCCTGTTCAAAAATAATGGTCAGAGTCCCACAAAAACACTGTGGGTGCATGTATCAGAGAGCAGAAAGCAGGCAATTTCTGTTTATTCCCTTGGAGTACAAGCAGAACCACACCTTATTCAAACATTTTTTTAAAAAAATCCATCATAGGCATGTGATTTTTTATATATATATATATACCCAAAGCTTTCTATCCATTCTTAAATTTAGAAATTTAAATCCCTTTATCTTTGGCCTCCAAAACTTCTTCCTACTACAATTGTGATTTTTTTTCAGCCTGCTACTCTTTTGAGAGGGGAACACAATTTGCTTGTGTTCTGTATCTCAGAGAGGTTTGATACTGTTTTAAAAACATAGACAACCTCACTCCCAAAACCAGAAAACCACAGTCTCCTCCTCTTGCACAATGCAGCTTTGCTTCACTGTGCAAATTCATTCCCAACCATTATATATAATGGGAGTAGCAAATGACGGTGCCACTTTTAAGTCAAAATATAGAGTATTCAAGGCCAGTCAATTTATCATATTTATCAAAAAGTTCATCTTTTAAAAGAGATTACAACATTTGCAATCATTGAAAGAAAGGCTGCACTGAACCAGTTTCTTCTAGGGTCATTCTCAATCCCTCAGTCAACATATACCTTTTTTTTTTAAACGCTACATTTCTATTAAGATTCACCAAGGCTATTATGAAAGATGCCCAGGGTTTAGCATGGAAAAGAATACAGAATTAATTAATGTCATTGCAGGTCTGGCTTTGAGCCCTTCAAGAAGAAAAAAAAAACATGGCCTGGTTGTGCTAGAGAGGGTGCACAATTTTACTAGAACAAGGGAAGGGCAATAAAAATATCACCACATTTGGATGTGTACATAGAGCTCTTATAGTGTACATAGGCATATGGAAATTCTTCCTTTTAATGTCATGGCTATCAAAGACACACTGCAACAGCATCAAATAACCAGAAGAGCAAAAGCAAGAACTTTGTATCTACTTTGATATCCGAAGCAGTAAAGAGGGAGTAAAGAAGAAGAAGAAGAAGAAGAAGAAGAAGAAGAAGAAGAAGAAGAAGAAGAAGAAGAAGAAGAAGAAGAAGAAGAAGAAGNCAAGGTTGACTCAGCCTTCCATCCTTCCGAGGTGGGTGAAATGAGGACCCGGATTGTTGATGGGGGCAATATGCTGACTCTGTAAACCGCTTAGAAAGGGCTGAAAGCCCTATGAAGCGGTATATAAGTCTAACTGCTATTGCTATTGCTATTAGTGAAGAACCAAGTGCTGTAATGACAGAGGGCTTATGCAAATCCAGAGAACTTGTCTATAATTCAATTGGGTAAAAGTAAAGATGGACAAATAATGATATCTCTCTGTCCACGTTTCTGGTTTGAATTCAATATATTTCAGAATTTTTTGCCAATAGAGTAACTGCTTCATGCAGCGTTCATGACTATTGCTACTCAAAAGAAAAAAAAGAAACGCCAAAAATATTATTCCCTCCAAAACTACAAGAGGTTGTCTCTGAGATATGACTAAGGATTGATGATCCCAATGCAAGAGTGATGCAAGTTACCATGTCCATCAGATACATAATACAAGGTCTTTCCTTATCCTGATGCAACAAGCCATCCTCATAATAAGTCCACATACAATATTTGGGCCATACATTGTCCATTGAAAGGACAGTTCGTGATAGAAGAAAGTAATGGAACATCAGAGCAAATATTTGTCAATATTGAATAACATTAGCTATCAATATTATGGGCTTTAAAATTCTCTAGACCAGATGTTCTAAATTCAACATTTTGGAAAAAAGTGATTGCACATTAAAAAAAGGAATCAGTCTGTTGTAGCAGAAAAACAAAATTTTATCCAGAATTGCTGTTCTATTGCTAGTCAAAAATATAACTCATATGAGGTTGGAAAAATAGAATGCATATTTACCCTGAACCTTGATATAATCTGAAGAATTTGAGGATGGTTGTCATAGTGATGAAAATATCGGGATCCATGCTAGGTTCTGTCATTTGAATGTGATTGCCTTCTGATTTCCATATAATTTAAATATGAAGGCTGGTGTTCTTCTCCATCAAAGTTTATCTGAGTAAGGCTGGCTGTTTTGCAGTGAATTGTTGTAATTGCCTACTTGAAAAGAGATGTGACATCTGAACCCACTATAAGAATAAATTTAAAAGCAAGAGTAGTGAGCAGTTAATCTGTCTTAAATCAAAATGTTTCAGGGAACATCTATGAAAGAAAATCACATCCAGTTTTAAATAGCAACCACAAGTGATTCACTTGAGATTCTGTTGGTCTTCACACTTCACCCTTTTTTTTATACTCTTCCGATAAAACTCATTTTCATGGTTCAGTGCTTGACTATATTCACAGCTCCAGTAGACCTGCAATAAAATCAACCATGTTGCTTCCGGGTTTCGCTGGAAATCACATTTTAGTTATTGGTAAATATGAACGGATTTAAAATTTAAGAGTCTTAGGTGCTATGTATTTATGAACAAGAAAGAAGCTTATGGATCAAGTATATGACATACATATTTCCATGAAAAAAGTCTGCAAGCATTTTTCCTCCAAGTCAGTTTGGTATCCTAGTAAAGAAAAACTATGAATGATATAAACATTGTTTCAGTGACCTATGCGAACATAAAAGCTGTCTTACATTGGTGAAATATAAGTCAGGAATGGTCAGGAATGTCTGGTGTGTTAACATATCATGCTAGGATATAGTTTCAATTTGCTTAATGTGTGAACAAAAAATGAATTATACTGGTCTAAGCCACAGTTTATGTCATGTTATGTTAACCCTGCCAATTCTTTCCTATTTAACAAACTATATTTAAAGAACTTATGGTTAGCACAATATTCCAGGGAAACTGTGTTTGTATTGGCTTGCCTAAATGGTGGAGCTAATATTGATAACCTGCCCTAATCCCAGAGGACTCTGGGTGGTATAAAGAAATCCAATAAAATGCATAATCATAAAACTAATGATAAATGATAACTTTTAATATACAGTATAAAAAAGGCTCTATGTGTATGTTCCAGCATAACTCTGGAACGCCTCAAGCAATTTCAACCAAACTTGGTACACAGATGGCTTACTCTCTAAAGAAAAATACTGTGGGGGGTAAGATACCCCTAACACACCTCGGGTTGTGTGTTTTGTTAAAATGCAGCTTGTTGTGCCTTTCAATGGCTTCTACTGTACTGCCGTAACTCTGGAACACCTTGAGCAATTTCAACCAAACTTGGTACACAGATAACTTACTCTCTGGAGAAAAATACTGTGGGGATAATACACCCCTAATACCCCTTGGAGTGTGTGTTCTGTTAAGATGCAGCCTATTGTGCTGAATTGCCATACTGGTTTCTACTGTACAGCGCAAAGGAGTTCCCTACTCCATAAGGGGGGGGCTCCCTCTGGTAAAGGGGAAAATCCAACATTAGAAATTACATTTGGTCTGAACAATTCCCCCTTATAAATAAATATCCAGGCAATGCCGGGTTATCAGCTAGTAAAAAATAAAGAAGATGAATGTCTCTACTCAGAATCCTTAGGAGCTATAATCTTGCACCATTAAATTGATTGATTTGAGACTTTGATTCATATCATGTACATATTTTATAGGGGAAAATCCAACCTAAGATCTGAAAGAATACTTAAGCTTGTTGTTTTAAAAACCATCTATTCTAATCTAAATATCTACGACGAAATATATTTCATTGGAAAATGTCTCTGATGAGGTTTTTCATTATTATCATTATTATTATTGAGATCATTCTGATAATTGGCACAACCCAATTATAGCTCTGGGATCCCAGTGTCCATTCTGTCTCATTGCAGGTGGGAAGGATGAGCGCTTATGCTGACATTTATACATCAAAGCAGGGACAACCGAGTTCCTCGGAGGGTGGTTACCAGCGCTATGGAGTTCGCTCTTACCTGCATCAGTTTTATGAAGACTGCACAGGATCCATTTGGGAGTATGATGATGATTTTCAGATCCAGAGGTCACCCAACAAGTGGAGCTCTATATTTTGGAAGGTATAGCCACTACCTAACAATTGTCTTGCAGCAGATCTGTGGAGTGTTTGACTCCAAAGGCATCACGACCCATAAACACTAATGACTGATGGGTTTTTAGCATTCCCATTATAACTTCATTGTTTCCTATGTAGTTTATGATTACTTTGCCCTAAGCACTACGTGTGATGGAAAGGGGGGGATGTTTATTTAATAAATCAATAAATACACAATATATTTATTCTCAGCTGTCAATCTCCTACTATTTTGAAAGCAGGAGAACTGGAAGGCTTTGATATGGCATAATAGGGCCAAATGGTAGATACAAGCTATGTAAACCTTCATTAAACTCACCGTCTTCTAAACTATTTCCCTTCAAGGTAAAGGAATCTATAATTTTAGAACGTAAGAAAGATCAGATATTTGAAATGAATATCGGACCAAAAAGCAGTCCTTTTTGTTTCAGAATAAATTGTCCCAAATTCCATCATTGGGAGAGTAATAGAAGGAAAAGATAGATTCAAGTTAGAAATGCAAATGTTTACAGAAATGATACTTTTATTAAATCAAAAGCTCTCATATATATATGTGTGTGTGTGTGTGTGTGTGTGTGTATTGTTGTATTTGTGCTGATAAATAAATAAAGGGCAGCACAAATACAACAAAATGTAACAAAAAGGCAACAGTNAGTAGCCTGCAGTGCTGCATTTAACCACTGCGCCACCTCGGCTCAGCTATAAATGTCATGGAAAATGCTAAGCATCCCACTCCCCCCACAGCATCCTTTTCTGTATTAAAAAGTTAATCATAGCAGTCAATCTTATGGGACACATTGCAGCTATTATTTATTTGAAATGTGTCAATAAATAAATAAATAAATAAAGGGATAAGAATTTTGGTAATTCTCGAATGCTTCAATAAATAATTCAGTAATTCCTCAAGAAGTAATTCTATAAATGATTCTATCAGTCTTTTCTTAGGATGTACTTTAGAGCCATTATAGGAAATCTTAACCATAAGACTGACCTTGCTCTTTTCGTGGATGTCTCATTCACTGTAGTTTTTCCTCACTTCTGTCAAGAAGGCAACATAAGGGCAATAGCAAAATTGGGCTCTGTGACCTTTCCAGGGAAACTTTAATTAAAGACTGGGAAGAACAGAAATGTGACATTTTGAGTCTCCCGGTAAAGTTCCATGAAGGACATTCTCAGTGATGTCTGAGATAGTCACCATATTTCTCAGTTGCATTTTGATAGCATAATGTCTTGAAGTTAGATTGAAAAAATAATTTACATGAATTTTTAGAGGGAAAAACTCTAAAGCTGTCAAGAACAGTGTTGTTCCGCAAAGCAAAGATGCATTTTCAACAGCAATGTTGCTAAGAATGAAAAGCCATCTAGGATTTCAAAGTCTTGGCATATTTGGTCAATACAAATTCTAAAACTTGGCAATCAGCTTTTGCCCTTCTTCAAGATCCATAGTTGTGGGAGCAAGCATAAATCACTTTTATGGATACTTAAGGAGCAAGGTTGGTTTTTGGTCACTAGGCTGAACTAAGCAGAATTGATAATGTTGCATTGTTTTATTGTTCCATTTTTCGGATCCTTTTACATTTGTTATTCAACAGATTTGCTATCCTGTCTTCCAAAAGGCATTGGGGATATATGCATTGAGAGAATTTATTTTTGCATTGAGAGAAACACATACAATGAGAATAGGCAAATAGATTAAAACCTCATTCATACCAGATGCAGTAAATACTAGATTCAAATGTATG